TCACTCCATCAGCTTCCATGCCCCGGTGTGACCTCCTCATCCTCCGGCCCCTTCACTCCATCAGCTTCCATGCCCCGGTGTGACCTCCTCATCCTTTGCCTCAATGTGCAAGGCAGGCAGTTCACCAGAAAAAGAAAAGCTGACAGAACAAACAGCAAGAGGACCACAGCAACTCCCATCTCAGACTCACTCTCTCCCATTCCTGCCCCAGAGGAAGAGTAAACGCCACTCTGCTCATGGTTTGCAGGTAAAACTTCTTGCTCCCTCTCAATTTTCAAGCTACCATTATAGCCATTATAATGCTGTGAAGAGTTGTCTCCCAAAGCATTAGAAAAGTCCTTGTCAAATTCCAAAAGCACTTCAGATATTCCCACCATGGTTGAATCCGGGTCCTCACTCTCCATTGGTCGGAATCTGGAGTCCAAAGTCACCCTAAGCCAAGCGGAGCCCCCAGCCAAGCTTCTCATTGCAGTACCTTCCCTTAGGTCCAGCATCTGCCTCTCAGTTGCAGTGGATGTTGGCTGACAAGTCGAAACTAGGAGCTCTGCCTTTAAGAGTGGGCCTTCGCCGTTGCCCCGAGCTACAACCTGATGGGATTGAGCCGCTATCAATGTGACCACAGATTCAGAGAGAGCGGACAGGCGCAGGGAGGAGGGCGCGTCGGCAAAGGCGGCGAGCGGTGCAGCAGTGCGGTCGCTGAAGTGAAGCCAAACACTGAGCGAAGCTTCCTGAGGGAGCAAAGAAGGGCAGTTTGCGGAATGAGAGGAAATGAGGTGAAAACCAATTCAGCTTTAGTCCAAAATTATTCATTTATAGCTTTGTGACGCTGGGATGAAATTGGTGATGTATACTATGCGGCGCACCTGGCCATGGCGGTACAGTGTACTGTGTGCTCTCACCACTGCGCTGACTATGGAGGCATGGCCAGGGTTCTCATACACAGACAGGCCAAGCCCCCCCACCACCTGCACAGAAAGGTCCCCAGGGATCACGCTGTCGTCCGTCACAGTGACATCACAGCTCGCCAGCACACCATCCCACTGGCGTGAAATGACCTTCAGTCAAGAAACCATTTGAAGGTCAAGCAGTGAATGATACCAGCATTATCAAAGCCTTAATACAGGAAAACGAAGGTCTGGGTCGTGACTGTCCTGCCTCTGACTACAGCACCATCATGGCAAAGAAAGAGAGAGGCCATTACGTGAGTAATGAAGCAATGGTCACTATTTGGGACTTTCAGATCATGTGACAAGGCAGATGTCATGCTGTGCAACTGGATGCATCCACACTATATTGCCAAAAGTATTGGGACACCTGGCTTTACACGCACATGAACTTTAATGACATCCCATTCTTAATTCATAGGCTTTAATATGGAGTTGGTCCACCCTTTGCAGCAATAACAGCTTCAACTCTTCTGGGAAGGCTGTCCACAAGGTTTAGGAGCGTGTTTATTTGAATTTTTCACCATTTTTCCAGGTGAGCATTTGTGAGTTCAGGCGCTGATGTTTAATATTTAATATTTGGTATATTTCATTAAATGGATGAGTATGACAAGCTTTTACAATGTATTTATAATATTAAAATATAATCTACTTTTATGCTCTTTATAATAATTTGATATTTTACAACACTTAACCTGCAGTGATGTGACTCCAGGCTGTAGACCAATCAGATTATGCTGTAGATCAAGGCAAGCCACCTGTGGATCTCGCACTTTCAGCCAGTCACCAACCAGTTCAGTCACGTCCATAAACCAGTCTGGCGACCCCAGCATGTAGGTCAGATGACCTGTGTTAACCACAGCCTTGGCAGCAAACTGAGCCAAAACCTGGACTGTAGACCTCTGGTAGATGGGAGCGCACCTATGCAGAAAAACAATGTGGATTTATTACAGCATATTACAGACAGTGTGCATGCACTGCATGTTACATTACTGCATAAAATAGACAGTCTGGGTGCACTGCATGTTACATTACAGCACATAGCAGACAGTGTGGATGCACTGCGTGTTACATTACTGTATACACCAGACTGTGGATGCACTGCATTGCATTACAGCATATTACAGACAGTGTTGAGGCACTGCATGTTACTGCATGTAGCAGACCGTTTGGATGCACTGTGTGTTACATTACAGCATATAACAGACAGTATAAATGCACTGCATGTCACATTACTTCATACAGCAGACAGTGTGGACTCACTACATGTTACATTACTACATACAGCAGACCATGGACAGCAGGAGGACAATCACCCCATGGCAGTATAGGAACTCCACCCCTCGATGGCACTGAGTACTGGGTCCGACAGTGAAATGAGGAGTGGAATAACAGGAGCCCACACTGTCAGACAGAGGGCCCCACTCAAAGTGCCCAGGAAGAACTTGACCTCCACACAAACGTTTCCCACTCCTGATTCACTTCCATCAACAAAGATGGCTGAACAGTTAGCTGACACCTACCGAGTGGAGAGTGCATGTTTAGGGTTAATGGAACAAGTTTTGTAAAAACAAGGCGAGCAAGACCTGAAAAATTATATTGTAGTTGAATCAGAATAATTACTGCTTTAGGGTCTACTGAGCTACAACCTACCAATCCAGTGGTTTTTCTGTTTTCTTTCAAGCTTCCTAAATATATATTTTGCACAACTGCACACTTGCCTTAACAATGTTGTCATTAGTGGAATGACATGTTACAGCAGCGGTGATATCAGACGCATCTCCATCTCTTGACACGGCCAGGACAGTGATAGGAAGTGAGACGGGTTGGCTGCTCAGAATTGCAGTGTTAATGATTGTGCGGCTCTGCAAAACAGGTGCAAACAAAACTACTAAGAATTAAGACGAGTTTTCAATTTTGACAGATTACCAGACAAAATGCCTAAATTACATTAACTTAGTAGATACTTTTATCCAAAGCAATATACGTTTTGAAAAAACAGGGTCAGCCACTCCCTGGAGCAAATAGGGCCTTTATTAAGGACCCACAGTGACATCTCAATCTACCAACCCCAGGATTTGTACCAGCGACCTTCTGATCACAAGCACAGCATCCCAATCTGCTAAGCTACCCACTGCATCAGAGATAACTGTCAAGGTATACCTGGTGCAATTAAGACACACCAGAACATGATGCCAAGTAACATCAACATGCCCAAAAATCTTGTTCTGATGCGTATTAATACAAGAAAAAAAAATTAAGCCTATTACCTTAGATATTGGAGCAATACCTACAATTTCCCAGTCACTGAAGAAGAATGTGCTCACCACTGCCCTATGTGGTGGCAGGGGGTAACTGCGGCCAGAGTACTCCACCCACCAGTGAGCAGTGACTGACATGACAACACCAAAGTGCTTGCGCAAGCCCTCCACAGAAAGACAGGCCACTTGTTGATGAACAGTAGGACTGCAAAAGCCAGATTTGACAGAATGACTTATTACACTATAAACCACATAACTCATACACTATTTATTAGCAACCGTGTAAGTCAAATGCCTTTTGTGGCAGCACAAACTCTGTTGTTTGAGTCACATGTTTTTTGACACACCTGTAACTGCCTCTGCGTCTGTTCAGTTTATGACAAATTATTGAGACAGTGTCATGTGAGGGAGCTGCATTCATCTCCAGAGTAATAGCCCAAAGGTCAGAAGTCAGAGCCTGTTGTGCCCTCAGAGATAAAAGCCCTTTCTTCACTTTCATCCTGACAAAAGGTCAAAGTGCAGTATGAAGCAGATTCGAAGGCATATCTAAGCATATTTAAGAAATGTTACATAGTACACTTACTGTACCTTATAATCACTAAATCTCCAGTGAAATTTGACATCAGGCTAATGGAAACTTGGACTTGCTGACTGCCATGTACCGGGCCTTTCTGGTAGCCAATCAGAACATTGGGATCCAGCCTTAGCTCCTCCTCTGCTCCATTTGAGCATCTTAAGTGTTCTCTTGTCAGGTTCCTCACCCAGGCCTTGCCTCCCACGGCCAGTGCGCCAAGGTAATACAGCCTTTTCTGAGACGGCTCCCATTTCTCCTTCAAGCATGCAGGGCTCTGCTTAAAGTCTGAAACTGACCCAGGGGAGGAGCAGTACAGCTGAATGTGAGGTACAGTGCGGCTGGCGTGCTCCCGGAGCCGTTTACCGCGGTATCTTTGTCTGTGCAGTTGCTTTGATTTGTGGGACTGTCTCGGGTATGATGAAGCACTCTGACCCATTTCAATCCAGCCCTGTGGCAGCTTCAGGGTCACCATGCAAAATCCCCCCAGAGGCTGTTGAATAAAGAGAAGTTTATTCAAACAACACTGAGCTTTTTTAGCAGGCCAAGCAAAGCCTCATCTACAGAGGCCCAGGCCCTACCTGAGTTAAACATGTAGCTCTTTGTTCCTCTGTCTCTTTAAAAGCATGAAGTGTGACACAGTGCCCCCTACTGGCCTGTCCTTGCCAGTGAAAAAGTGCCCGCACCTTGAAGGTCACTCCCTTTTCACCATCCCAGTCTCTCTCCACAGTGTTAGAAAGAAGCGAGGCAGAGAAAGGTGGCATATCAGGAGAAGGTGAGGGACTGGAAATGAGCTGAGGGACAGAGAGCAAGACATGAGGCCAAAGGACCATGATCGACTGAATGCTACTAGACATTAACACTGTACTGATAAAGGGTTAATACAGTACAACACTGGTACAGTGACTGAACACTACTGAACATTAACATTGTACTGAGACTGTTATAGTCATGATCGAGCAATCCCGCTAGCAGTCAAAGCTAGGCTAGCAATATTAGCTGAAGGTGGATAATAACCTTCTGTAGTGTTCAAAATTGCTGTTGATTAATAGCACCCCC